CAACTCCTAGAGCAGTCTTCGAACTCCATAGGCAGCTTCACGCTTTGATCAAATGGAAAATGTTATTGTCAATGATAAAAGTAGCTTTTACGCTACTCTTATTTTTTAACACTATTAAAAAACACTTGCGCATTTTTAAAATTTTGCCTTAAAAGATACAAGGCAGAGTGTTAAAACTCAATTAGTATTCTGCTGTTTTAATCGGCTAAAGGTGATGTTAGGTTAGTTAGCGGTCATTTTACCTCGGTTAATTTGCCTAGTCAGGTTGTGGTTCAGTGTTATAGGCTGATAATGGCAGCTGTGTCTTTGGAAAAGCTATTTATCGCATCCAAAATGCAGTCATATGAGGATCTGGATGAGCAATCTTTGATTGCAATTTTTCCTCACATGTATTTTACAATCGAGAACGTGGAGTGTTTCGTCGCTGAAAAGTTTAAGGACCCAGCTGCTTTAATTACTGCTGTTGAATTGTTGCAGTTCTTGGACAGCTTAGCAACTGTTGACATAAGAAAGATTTGGGAAATCACTCTCCTAGAAACTTCGAAGAAGTTTGTCAAAGGATCTCCGTTCATATTTTTTAGACGCTCAACAGAACTACCACCTAGGTCTCGAGTGTTTACTTATGATGATTTTGAGGCCCAGAGTTCAGTAGAATCGAAAGTAAAATTGGTTATTCAGCAGCTTCAGCATGTCTTGCATGAGGTTAGTTTCTGAGAAGTTGAGAAATTCTTCTCTAGAATGCAAGCGATCATTGTGAATATTACCGTTGCTGTACTCTTTTGGAAGCATCTGTTCTGCTAAACATTGTAACAGTAATTATATCTGCAGTTATTGTTGGTTTGTAGATGCATTTGTGTTCTACTCATTACTTACTCCCTAGGACTGTATAACACAGATATCTTACCTGATGTGATAGCGGGCCTTTCCATTCATTGTGCTCTTGGCTCTCGTCTTTTAATTGAACGTCTTGTTCTCAACTTTCCAGAAAAGTGGTGTACCGTGTACGAGTGCCTTCTGGAGCGTATTTCAACAGCTAAGTACAATTCGGATCAGAAAGGGGCTTCCCGCTGTCTCGCAATGCTTCATCACCTCCCTACTTTCGTTCCCGATATAAATGGGCTCATGAACAAATGTGTAAGTATGAGTATTGCCTAAAATTAACTTACTTTTCATAGATACAACTTAGACAGTTACCGAACTTGGTTATGCAGTTGGCGATCATGCGCACAAACAGTGACAAGGACTTTTCTCTGCTTAATCTCTTTAAACGAGTTTTGCTTGACAGTGGTCGAAAAACTCAGTCATGGTTTGCTGAATACCTGAGATTCACTTGGGTGAGTTACTGGCGATTTCAGCTCCACACGTCTTTTTTATCTGGTTGTCATATTCAATCTTCTGATTAGGATACAAGTCCTACATTAACTGCTGATGTAAACGAAAAGATCCTATCGGCTGTTTCTGGGATCGCAGAGGACTCGAAGTCTGTACTCTCCAAGGATCAGTTAGTCCCTGCAATGGAATTTCTGCGAACGATCGCAGCTTTATGTGGCTATACCGGATTTGTGTAGGTTCTACTCTTTACATTTCAATTACAAAGCCAGACTCCGTCTGATTTCCTCTGTTTTGAAGGCTTTCGTCGAAGCTGCGTTCCTTCGTTCTGCATTTAATCACTCACCCTGCAGGAAGAAGTGAAAAGGCTATTAGTTTTATATACTTTTGTTTGGCCTTCGTAATTGGTCTCCGGTCTTGTTTAGTTGAGTAAGTGCTGTGTTGTTGTGTTTAGGATTCTTTTTTGATAAACTAATCAAGCAATTTTATTGGTTGCTAGTATTTCTGGTGTTAATGAGGCCGGATGCTCGGAAACGGAGGAGCAGCTCGTTGTTTGGCTACGACGCCTGATATCTCGTCAGGACATTTTCCACACATCTTTGCGTCAATCCTCCACGTACTCTGAAGTTCTCCTTCTATTTGGACTACTCCTTAATAACAATAATCAAATCACAATTCGTAATATTATCGTCAATACGCTTGACTTAGATGTTCCATGTTTTGTACGCAACATCTCTGCTTCTCGAAAGCTCTTCATTCAAAAAGTCTTCACTTGTCAGGTATATTCATTAATTTGGTGATTATTAATTATCAGCACTCTAATATTCTAGTCTATTGCTACCCAAGCTGTCCATGTTCCTGTCACCGTCCGTTTGAACGCGCACACGACCGGCAATCTCCCCATTCACTGCGTTTTTGAACTTTTAAGGAATCATGCTTTTAATAAAAATAGAGTCCAAATTAAAGTAAGTTTTATTTAACCTTCTTTTACTGATGCATTGGTATTAGTTTCACTTTGCCCTCTTATATAATGTTTTCATAAGAAGGCGACTAGTAATACATCCATGAATCAGGGCTTAAATCATTGCGGTTGAATCCATCTCTCAAGGTAATGAGATTGCTTTTTGACTCTTGGACCAATTATTTAAAATTTAAATGTGTGGTTTTTGAGTATGCATGTGCTGGAGACGTTAAACATCACGTTGATAGGGTTTCGATCATATTGCACATTCTAAGTTAAGCTCTTGGGGTAGTTTGTTTTGGGGGCAATTGAGTGAATGATGTTCGATTTGATAACTTTAGCGCATATGAGCTCCTTGTGCCTCGCTTGCAGGGCTGGATATATCGTCAGATTTGTGAGAGTGTTCGTCCGCTGCATCCACTTATGCTCGAATTTCTCGAGACTTATACTACCAACGCTTTGGCACAGATAGTTGGCCTGGCCAACAGCCAAATAATTGGTGCCGGCGGTGGTTGTGTGCCTTTCACGGAGGCCGAACTGTTCTCTCAATTCTCTGATCCTGTTTTCGGCCCTGATGCTCGCATGTGTGCGCCCGGTGCCACCGACTTTGTCGCTGAACTGCCGATTGATTCCGATGTTGATGATCTTCAAATGGATCTGACGCCCCAGCTCCTCTTCCTTTATTACATGTTTTATATCCATGATCAGGAATTGGCCTCCCGTGGCGCAGAAAATCGAGGGAATCAGCGTGAGTATTTTGGCGTAAAATCTTTTCTCTTATTAGCTTTCGTTCAGTATCCAAATCAGCAATCCGGTTTGTGCTGTCAGTTCAGCACACCTTTGCTTGGTTTTTCGGTGGCTAGTTGCTACACTGCTTAATCGTCGTCCTACTAGTTGAATCATTAATATTTGTTGTTCTTTGTCGGTTTATTCTACGCATTTGAAAGTAGCGCACGCACCTGTAAACGCTTAGTTCTTGCTACCAAAATATGGTTAGTGCTTCTTTGTCGACCTTACCGGGGGTTGTACCTATTGTATAGCATTGTAACTTTGAAAATGGGCGTTAGCAACTAGAGAGAATCAAAAGTGGTGGATCAAGGTCCATCTCACCTAGCGTAACGCGAATGCCGGAAAGTGGGTGAGATATTTAATTGTATACCGTTTTCTATTGCATAGGCGGCACCCAAACGAAGCTGTCACTGTCGCTGTTTTCGGACAAACTTTGGGACGCTATTCCTATTACCTATTTGCTACAATACGCACGCTCAAACATTTCCTCTTATCGACAACTTTATCCTCGCTTACAACTGTGAGTTTACACCTTCGGTTTGTCCGTCTCAGTAATGACCGTTACTCTGAAGACATTAGCTGAGGTATATTCTACGTTCGCCTTATCTATCCCCCACTTCCTTACTGCTGTTCTCCTACTTTACACCCAACTCCTTCATACTCACAGGTTAAAAGCTTTGATTAAACTCTAACTACTGATTTTGACATAGTTACCATGCATTTGAACAAAAAACCGTGCGCGGTGAGGAGGTTCATCTGTGGCGCAATTTTTTTGATACCCGTCAAATTGATGCGAAGAAAACGCTTAATTTTGATTCTCTCCCATAGATTGGTGATGGAGTACAGGCCTCATCTAGTGGTGGGCGAGTTCACCATTCAGGATGAGTTGCTCCTTGATCCTATATGGAAGCCTAATTCAGACTTCCAACCCTTCAACAGTTTCTGCCCCCCAAGACGGAAGGCCACGGCTATAAAGGCACCATTGCCGGACAAGCTTCTTTCAGGTTGGTAATAGCAATTCCTTTTCGGACGCCCATACACGCATTTGATGAGAACGCTATCTTAACCTATGTCGCTTTCTGGCTTTAGCGTGCATTTGTACTTGTAAACACAACAATTCAAGTCCTCAAGTTGCGTATAGTTCTGTTTGGACTGAATTGTGGCTGCCTTACGAGCCAGTTGTTTGCAATCTAGTTTGGCTATTCAACCGGATGGTGTTTATTCTAGGGAGCTAACCTTAGCAGCCAAAATAATGTTAGATTTGTTCGCATTGTGTGATACACGCACTCGTAGGCAGTAATTTTTGCTACCTTGGTGCGCTATCAAATTTATCGTGACTGCGTTCTGCTGCCTGTCCTTGTGGTTTACAATTAAGCGCTCATTCCGAGGCGAGAACATTCGTGCTAATTACGTTTTCAGTCGTTTGAGGAAACTAAACTCCTATGCTCTCCACATTATGTGAATAGTATGTTGGAAGCATAAAGGTATTAGGCGAGAGCTTTGTGGATGAATTGAGGGATTTGAATGTGACTTGGGTGCGTAGGTGGGTGCATTGCCCTAGAAAAATTTGAATTTACAAGTTAGGCCGATGCGTCAAATCCACTAGTGCCTTCTTTTATGACAAGTGGGAAATGGACGCCCAGCATGGAGCTTAATGGTGTCTTTTTTTTTAATCTACTACTTCACATTTTCCTGGTAGCATAGAACACTAGTAACCACCTAAAAAATCAAAGCTGTGATTTCATAATTTGCTTTCCCACTTCCCTATCACAAGGAAAGTAGAGAAAACATATCCTAATTTGAATTGAGATGAGCTTAATGGTTAAATATTCCCCATTCCTCTCCTGAGGTTTCATTTGTTTTCTCGAGGAAACTCGTGCCAGCTGGTCGCATCACATGGCTTGTTGGTAATGCTCCAACTCGGCAAAATTTATTGCCGCTAAACTATATTTACACCCTTCTATTTCGTCTTTGTATCTTTTTCTCACCAGACGTCTGTAAAATCATCACACCCTTAGAAAATGGGTGGTACATGCACCACTAATTTTACTGTATGCATTTTACATACACAATGCTCTGTTGCACACCTCTGATGTTCGTATCACTTGGATTCTGGCCTCCTTTGCAGTTCTGGACCAAATTCTTTCACCCAGCTCCTCTCTGGAGAGCCTCAAGTCCGCCACAATTGAGTGTATTTCTGCAGTGAATTCTCTCGTCAAAGTGGTGAATGGACTGAGAGGATTCTCGCGTCTGCGTCATCTTTTACCCTACGCAGAGGCAATTGGCTGCCGTTTGCCTCGAGTTTTGTTGGAGACTGCTGCACTGTCGGGCAATCAGCGCTTTTCATCTGCGGTCTGTTTCCTGTGGCGCAGTTTACATTGTATTATGCCTTGCAGGTACATCATCTTGGGTCATAAGCACACTACTGAGTCCTTGATCGTCTCATTGCAATGTGTGCGGTATGCTTGTGAAACGCAGTAAAGAGCCCTAAATTTGGAATGGGATAGAATGTGAGGAAAGACACTTTTTCCATTGTGTAAGAACTGACTCAATGCTTGGATGGATTCCCTTTATCTGGTCCGAGAACGCATGTCGAAAGGAGAGATTTTATACATACATGTTGTTTTTAGTTCAAACTGCTCCATAGTCCTTTGTTTAGTTTTGCATTTATCTTAATGCTTTTCCAAAATTTAGGCTCGAGGTGTTAACGGTAGAAGCATTATCTGCCAAAAGAGAGGTCTCGCCCCGGCTGACTCATCGTGATCTTATTAAAGATCCAGTGGAAAACATTGTCATGGGTGTAGATCGGAGGGTCTACAGGTTTG